CGTGTACCTGGCGGCAGGGCCATCACTCACGCGCCTACTCGCGGCACGAGGGAAGGCGTGACGCGACCGCGAGAGGCGAGATGGGTGATGGCGAGACAGTCGTTTGGCCCGTTTGAGGCTGAAAGGATGACCGCAGACGATGAGGGCGACGATTCATCGCGGCTACTGAGCAGGCAAGGTCCGGACCTACAGGATTTAGGGGCGAGTAGTGAGACTCGGGACCATATCTTCGCGTCGGGAGACGAAAATCCGGCGTTGTGTAGCCTAGCTTTTGGGTAATATAAAATCCGGAGTTTTGGCCGCCAGCACCCGCCGGGCGCCAAGCGGACACTAGGGAACTGCGCGACGACGACGACATTTCTGACCGGGAGCGATCACCACCGCCCTTCTGGTGGTGTTTGCCGGTCGGGGGGGCGTCGGCACCACCGTCGTTCCGCGCGGATGTTGCAAACGGTGGCTCGGGGCACCTATTTCGGCAGCCCCGGGGCGGGAGCCGAGGAGGGGCAGCCGTTGCGGTGGCGCCATTGCAGCTCGGCGGCGCGTGGGGAGCCGAGCGGCTCCCAGCGATCCCGCGAGAGAAGGGCCCGCATCCGTCACGGATGCCGCGCCCACGCTGCCCGACGCAAGCGCCAGATGGGGGGAGGAGGTTGGCAGCCTTTCTGCACTTCGAGGTGCAAGAGAACTAGACACTAACACAGGTACACTACCAAAAAGAAAACGAAACTTGGCGCCTTGAGAGAGTTCTGCGACGCCGCCGCCGCCTGTGCCGATCCCTTGCTTGCTCTCGCCACGCGGCTTCTCTCGCCTCTCGCTCGGCGTAACTCCGCTCTCCTCGCATCGTATTCTAGGTAGGTGTATGTAGCTCTTACGAACATGCCCGAAGGCGTTGACGGGGTGTGATTTGTTTATGTGGCTTCAACCATTTTGGCAGTTTAACAAAGAGTCCGCTTTCAATGATGACCGCTCTCCGCTTTCACGCCATTGGCGCAGGCTGCAGCCTCAGCGCAGCCTCCGCAGACCACTTCCTGGCGCGCGTGTCAGGCCGATGCACCAAGCACTGCAGTACGCCGGCGTCCCGTACTTGCTCCCTGCAAAGGAGCAATTGCTCGCGCTGAACGCTTTGCCTGCACTTGCCTTCACCGCATCCCAGGCACCCAAAGTTACCGAGCACCGCCCATGGGTCCTGCCATGGGTGTTCCGGTGGATTGTGGTCTCGCTGTCGGTGACGTCGTCCATGAGGATCATGTCGACGTGCGGTGAGGCATGCAATGCATTACCCCCGTCGCGCGCAACCGCACTCGGATGATGATCGCCATCCAGGCTCCACACATTACAGTGGCTCAATGATGGATTCTTCGTGGCATTCAGCTGGGTGTCGCTCAAGCCACGAATGAAGACGGTCCGTCCCGGAAAGCGCATCGAGAGGAATTCCTGGACAGCTGCTGAGAAGCCAAATTCGTGCGGGTCGATGCTCACGTACGTCGCTACTTGGCGTGCGGTGAGCGCGAGGAAGAGAACGGCCGAATGGCCTTCAAAGAGGCCCACCTCGCAGACGTTCCTTGGCGGCGTGTCCAAGCAAAGAAGAGCGCGCACGTACGCGAGCAATTGGGCGGGTTCAGTGCCAATGTTGCCATACCTCCCCAAGAAGGAGAGAACCCTATGCTTTGACCAGCCCCGTTGTCTCCGCAGCGCACTCTCCGCATTGTGGCTCACTGCGTCCATTATCGTCAGCAGCGATGCGAGTGGCGGCAGCAGCCCGGCGGCGGCAGCGTTTGAAATAGCGGCCACTGCTTTGTCAAAGTCGGCCACCTCAACCTGAGCCGCCAGCCCACCTGCTGTGGCGGAGCAGCCGCACGAGCACCAACGACACAAAATGGCGGCACGGGACGTGTTGAGCAGTGGATGCCTGCACCACTCTTCGCAAGCCAGTGCGCGCTGAGTGACGAAGCCGTCGAATGAGCAGATGGAAGAAGCCTTTGCGTGTCCGCCGTTTGCCCACCCAAGGCTCAGCACGAGGCAGCCGGCAGAAGAAAGTCCGCGGCGACGCCTTGGGCGTGCCATGATGCGGAGGCCTGTGAGCCGGCAAGGGGCTGTGAGCTCACTTTGGTTGGCCCCTCGAGTTTATCGAGCTCTCCTCGCGCAAGGACCATTCTTCTGACTCTTCCCACTCCGATCACTTGCCGCCCGACCCAAGTTTCCGTGCCAAGTGTAAAAGAAAGAATCTTAGAACCCAACTCCCTCGCACAACACTGGGCACGGGACTGGCGCGCACTGGCACTAACACAGGTACACCACGAAAAGAAAGAAAGAATTTATTACCAGAAAGAAAGAAAGAAAAGAAGGAAAGTGCCGCCGGGTGCAACCTGTCCTATACGAGAGAGGAATCCCTGGGACCCTGTCGTGTGGGTGAACCCTGCCCAGCCCCCCTCCGTTGTCGCGATGCGCTCCCCGCTCCCGTTCCCCTGTGTCCCTGATCGTCCTTCCAAGATCCTGCTCGTGCAGGTGGGGACCCTGTCCTTCTCCCACCCCTCGTTTGGCGTGCCCGTTTTATTTATTTATTTATTAGAAAAGAAGGAAAAAGAGAGGGCCTCTGTGAAATTTGAGCGTCATTTGTAAAATACCTCCTCGTGATCCAACCCGCCACCACCCTCGCCTCGTCTCGTCACTCTCCCGCCGCCTCGCCGCCACCCCGCCCGCTCGCGCCCGACTTTCTACCTCCTCGTGATCGCCGTGCCGTTTGTCTCGCCGTCCGAGACGTCCTGCCTGCCGTCTGCTGCCGCCGCGCCGCCTGACCGCCGACCCTTACCGTGCCGCGCCGCCTTTACACACACACACACACCTTACTTTCTGCTCGACCGAGTTTGCGCTGATGATGAGCGGACCGAGCCGCCGGGTGCCCCGCAGCGGCCTCGCTGGGCCAGAACGTCGGCCCCGAGTGCTCCGCAGCAGCCTCGCTGGGCCAGAACGTCGGCCCGCGAGGTGGGGTGCTAGTCTGGGACCCATACGTACGTGGCAGTTCCCTTGCTTGCTCCACAAGCGCTTGCGCTTCGGCGGTAGTGATCTAATCACCCGAATACCACGTTCGGATCGCTCCTCATCGCAAACCCCGTCAGCAGTCCACCTACGGGTATGTTCGAAAGAGCTCCCACTGTAAATTCTCATCCGCAACACCTGTGGTATCGAATGGAGGGACGGCGTAACGGCTCATCGACATGTGTGTATGTGCATGGCGTCGGAGCTGTCCGCCCTCAGGCTGGAGTGTCGCGCCTTGCGGCAGGAGGCGGCTGACCGTGAGGCGGCCGAGGTCGAGTGCGCCGAGCTTGAAGATGACATGCTCAGTCTGAACGATTCGCTCGCCGAAGTCACGAGTCAGATTGTGGCTGAGGAGGTGCGTCTCGCTTGCGTGAGCCAGACTGGGGAAACACACGCCGCGTACGCAAGGCCACGGAAGCGCCGGGCCGAGGTATTATTGACAGGCGTGGCGGCAGTACGGCCGACCCGCATGTTGGTAGGCGAGGTCGGCCGAGGCGCTAGAGATGCTGCGGGAGAAGGAGGCGGCGGCCGCCTCCTCGGCGAGGGCGCGCGTCGACGATCCGGATGCGCTGCAGGCGTGATCATATCTCACTAGTGACTCTGGGAGCCATGTCCCTGGGGGCTCTCGTGGACCCGACTCTCTTACCGGCGCACTCGGTCGACCCTCGCAGCGCACTCTCGAGACGTACCTGCGGCGGCATGCGGCGCTGAGCAAGACACTGAGCAAGGCCGCCGATCCCAACCTCATCGCCGAGGAGGAGGATGGGCTCGCCGACGAGCTGCAGCAGGTGGGAGAGATGGAGCGGCGGGCGGCGCAGCTGGAGGTCGAGCTGCGCAAGCTCGAGCGGCAGGTGAGGCGGGAGGAGGCGCAGCGGGAGCGCGAGGGCGAGCGCGAGGAGCGGAGGAGGGAGCAGGCGAGCGGTAGCCAGGCGAGCTACATCGTGCGGCTGAAGGAGCTCGAGCTAAAGACGGGGCGGGGAAAGGACGCAAGCCGCCAGCGCGCCGAGGAGCTGGGGCGAGAGTGGGCGCGGCTGGCGCGGCCGGCGCGGCACGGCTGGTCCGCGGCGAGAGACATTACTTCACCGATTTGGCTGTGAGCAGGTGCGGCTGCTCGAGGACGAGAGGGTTGGCGCCTGCGCCGGCGGAGGCTCAGAGGCCAGGCTGCTTGCGGCGCGGCTAACCACCGCCGCCTGCGGCGGTGGCGGCTTCTCCGATGTCGCACGGGCGACCGCCAGCCCTTTGCGGCGGGAGGGTCAGGTGCTCTCTTCACGCTTGGTGCTGTGGACAGGCGGTGCTGGACCGGCTGCGCTACTGCGATCGCAGGCACGCGCAGCTGCAACGGCGCGGCGACGAGCTCGCCGAGGCCGAGGCGCGGCTGAATGAGAGGCTGGAGGGCGTCAAGTCCAAGATCCTGGCGGAGCGGGCCAAGATGTCGAGGGCATTTTGACGTTGTGTGTGCGCGCCTATCTGTATTTTCTCGTGTGGTGCAGGAGTCAGTTTTGTAGTAGAGCTGCCCGGCATTGTACACAGCTCGCAACGAACTGCCCTTGCGCATATATTTTCGCGCGCTGCATGGACCATGTGCGCGGTTTTCGACTCTTTCGTCTCTCTCGTCTGGTTGCGCACATCGGCTCCCGCGCCTGGGCGGGATCTGGGGCGTATGAGGCGCATGGTGCAAAAGGGGGGAGACAATCACGGCGTTTACCCCCTTTTAAAAAAAAATCCGAAAAAGGGAACCAAAAAAGACTCAAATCACACACACGCGCGCACTGGTGCCGGTCCGCAACACAGGTCTCAGCCAGAGTCCCGTCGGGGCTTTCGACTTGTGCGGCCGATCCGACCCCCGCTTAAGGCCGCGCCATCATGCAATCGCTGTCCATCGGAAGGAAATCCAAGGCCAGATCGGGGATCTTTGAGGGCGACGAGAACCGTGCAATAGGGTTCCACGAGCGCGCCCTTGCGGCCGCGTTTGGCCGGGTTCGGCAGGGTTTCGCGATGGCGGTGGCGGGCAGACCATCTGTTGTGAGTAGAGAGGTCAGCAGCCGGAGCGCGGCCGCACAAGACTCGGCCACCGTCCACACGCGCGTTCCCAGCGCCAAGACGGGGCACCAAAAGAGGAGTGACTCGACGGCGGTGACGTCGCAGCTTCCGTTGCGGATTCCAGAGCTGAAGGGCAGCACGGAGGGGACCGACGAGTGCGAGTCGGAGGAGAGGAGGAGCGAAGCGACGAGGATCCCGACCCGGGCCGCGGCCTCGCTGCACAGCACGAAGCGGGCCACGGCCCACGGCGAAGCCCTCCGGCACGCGAACGCGATCCCGAACACGGCGATTGCGGCGGAGAGCGTCGGCAGCAGCCACTCCACCAGACGTGCGAAGGAGAGGGGCAAGTGCGCGTTGGACCAAGCCTTCGAGAGGGCGACGGCCTGCGTTGTGAAGACGCCAACGTCAATGCTTGTGAACGCGGCGACGTGCAGTGTATTCAGCGGATCGCGTGGATACGCGGGCACGGCTCGACACGTCGAGCACGTCCTCGGGTGCCGCTCCGCGACTAGGCCGAGACAAGGGGGAGACAGGGGGAGACAGGGCGAGATATGGGTCTTCCTTCCGCATCTAGCGGCGACGGCCGTCATCGCTGCGATGCGGAAGGCCTTGAGGGTGAGAAGGGCGCGAGGGTAGGGCGCCTATGGCGGCGGCCGTGGGCGGTGAAGGTTCCCGACGTCACCTCGCGAGAGGGGCCACGGCAAGCAGAGGGAGATTGGCGCCTTGCACGGCCCCGGGAGCTCGCTGCCGAGGTATGCAAAGTTTCCGCCGATGAAGAGGAATAAGTGCAGGAAGGCGCCGGCGTGCGCGCGCACGAGGAGGTGCGTCCTCAGCCCAACGGTCTCGCCCACCTACCGTGCCACACCACACACCGGGTCCGAGCGGGAACCCCCCCCCCCCCCCTCTCTCCCCCCTTCCCCCCTCTCTCCCTTCCCTATCTCCCTT